TTCTCCTTCATAATTTCAGATAACTAACATAATAATTACATCACCCGTCGTCTCTCAAAATCAGTATCTAAACTTACTGGTTTCAAACAGGGCATAGAACTTTTATCTACTACGAACTAAACAATGCATATTAGCATACACAACTTACTCAGATCAAATAACTAAACATACATTTTTCCAAAATCAACCCAAACTAAACACTTTGCTCAGCAATATTCCAATCCGCATTACCCAACACCACCCTCGTAAGTAGAGGTGGCAATTAGGATCCAAATCCATGAATCCAATCCAATCCATCCACCAAATTATCCACCTAATCCAATCCATTTAAATCCAATCCATTTGATCCAAATCCAATTGGATTGGTGGATTCATGGATCAATCCATGGATCCAAATGGCAAATTACGATTTGGTACCTATATTTTTTATATTTTACATTTTGGTACCTAAAATTTATATTTTTATACGAAAAATATCATTGAAAAATTACGTTTTGGTACCTAAATTTTTTCATTATGACATTTTAGTACCTAAACTTTTCAAAATTTACATTTTGGTCCAAGCCTTGGATGTTATTTGGATTCATGGATCAATCCACCAATCCATTGGATCCAATCCATGAATCCACCAATCCATTGGATCCAATCCATTTGATCCATGGAGCCACGAATCCAATCCACGAATCCGATCCAATTGCCACCTCTACTCGTAAGTCATAATCCCTGCCCAGTCAAATTAGTTGACACGTTCTGAATAGATGGAAGGATTCTTCTGTTGATTGTTCTAAAAAGTTCAGTGATAAGTTGGTTAAGAATCAAAATTATAATTGAACAAAATGACCCCCAAAGTTCAAGGACCACTCATGTAATTGACCAATCATCCATTCTCAACTCTCAAGTTGTTGTCTTATAAATAGGCAAAAGCATATCATTCCCCCTCTTCATAAATAACTCATCACTAATTTGCACCAACAATATACAAGCATCATTCCCCCTCTTCATAAATAACTCATCACTAATTTGCACCAACAATATACAAGCATTCACCAAAAGGCAAAAGCAGAAAACTCAGAAAGGAAACCACAACAAGAAATTTCTCCTTCTCTGCCCCCAGTGCCAAAAGGCCCAACCATGGTTGTCATGCCAGTGGTATGCCGGCCGGTTGTACCAGGTTCAACCGGTACCGGTCATAAAACCGGCTGGAATACCACCGGTATGACTCTATGGTCAATACCGGTCAATTCCGGTCAAAACCGGTCAATTCCCGGTAAACCAGTGGTTCAACCGGAATATTAATTTCCGGTTTTTGCTTGATACAACGTCGTTTAGCAATCACAAAATTGATAAACATAAATTGTCAGGTCAGTTTTGCAATCACAAGTCGCGACTCAGTCGCCTCTTTCATTTGTTCCCGAATTCCTCTGTCTTTTGGACCCTAAGTCGGCAACGAATCCTAAAATTGGTCGGCAACAGATCGGCGGCGCGAAGCTCGGCAGGCGCGACTCGACGAGGTCGGTGACTACCTGTTCTTCCAACGCGGCAACGAAGACGAGTCAGGCGGCCAGATCGAGAAGTGGAGAGGAGGGAGAAATGGCGAGTCATCCCCTTGTATTTATTTCGTCAAAGAACGAAGAATAGAAGGGCAAATCCAGTGGGAGGAGGGGAGGGAAGAAGGGTGTTCTGAGTGTTTTGAGTTTGGGGCGGCAGAAGAAAAGAAACGAGAAGGAGAGGAATAGGGTTAGTTGAGAGAAGGTATGATTTGGGCTTTTGGATGATAGGTTGGATTGGATCTCTGCTTCTCTATTTTATTTCTTCTTCTCATTTTTTTTTTGTCTAATTTATTTGTTTGTATATTTTTATTTTTCCTACTTAATTATTTAAACCGGTATAAAACGGTACATACCGGTTGTACCGCGGTCGTACCATTTTGCATACAAAACCGGCGTACCGGCATAAACCGGTTTGACAACCTTGGGCCCAACAAAAAAAGCTCATTTCCAACCCGTCTTTCTTCATTTCCCCCTCCCTTTGGCCTTTTCCTTCCTCCGTACTCTTTTGGCAATGGAAGACGACGAAGACCTTGCAGAGCCATTCTGGCTCCAAACCGCCGACGGGCACCGCCGCCTCCGCCGTCGCCGCCAGCTCTCCTCCATCTTCCTCAACTCCGGCCTCCTCCTCACTCTCCTCCTCCTAATCGCTTGCCTCTTAATCTTCCTAATCATCCCTTCCTTCCTCTCCTACACCTCCCAAATCTTGAGGCCTCACACCGTGAAGAAATCCTGGGACTCGCTGAACTTGGTCCTCGTCCTCTTCGCCATCATCTGCGGCTTCCTGAGCCGAAACGGCGTCCAGCGGAGCAACAACGGCAGCGGCAGCTATGAGCCAGCCGCTTCCGCCGCGAGGACTGCAGTCAGTTCTAGTTACTATGAGGATCATCGAAGGTTTCAGCAATCGGCTCTGGCGGAGAAGATATCGCTGTCATCGCCGCCGCCGCCGCCGCGGAGACTCGGCGATTACGAGCGGTATCAGGATCGATTTAATCACTCTGCTGGCGGTGGAGGTATGAGTAGGCTGAGGAGCATCAATTCGTATCCAGATCTGAGGCAGGAATCGTTGTGGAGCGGCGGTGGTGATGCTGCTGGAGATGATCGGTGGCGGTTTTATGATGATACGCACATTAGGGATTACAGTTACAGATTTCCTTCCTCTTCCTCCGATGAAATCCTCCGCCACCGCGAGGTTGCTAAGGAAGAAGAAATGCCGGTGGCGGATGTGAAGGAGAGCGAGAAAGAGAAGGAGATTGCGGTGGATACGGTTACGGTAGTGAAGGAGGAGGTAAAGGAGGAGGAAGTGATGGCGGCGGCGGATCCGTCAGATCCGCCTCCTCCTCTGCTTCCGGTGGATCTGCCGTCTCCGCCTGTGCCCGCTCCTTCATCTCCGCCGCTGCCACCGCCTGCGAAAGCGGCGAAGAGGAAAGTGCAGAGGACGTATCGATCCGTCGGTCAATCGAGAAGTAGCGATGGCCGCGAGGAGAGAGAGATGGACATTGAAGATTTCTACAAACGGCCGCCGTCGTCGTCTAGGTCTCCGCCGCAGAAGGCTGTTAGTAGAAGGAGAGTTAAGAGGAATGTTAATCGACCGGAGTTTGTGGAGAGCATTAAAGAAGAAGAAGAGGAAGAAAAGACTGTGGTGGAAGAAGTCAAGTACGTCTATCTGCCGCCACCATCGCCTCCGCCTCCGCCTCCGCCTCCGCCTCCAGAGAAGAAGAAGAAGACAAGTAAGGATTTCTTGATTTCTCTGAGAAGGAAGAAGAAGAAGAAGCAGAGGCAAAACAGCGTCGACAATCTCGCGAGCTTATTTGATCCGGATGCCGAATTTCCCCCGACTCAACCCGAATCCTCCATTCCGCCGCCGTCGCCTCTGCCACCGCCTCCTCCCCCGCCGCCTCCGCCGCAGCATTTCCTGCAAAATCTGTTTTCTCCTAGGAGAGGAAAGTCCAAAAAAGTCCACTCAGTCTCACTCGCTCCACCACCGCCGCCGCCCCTTCCACCTCGTCGACGAGCTGCAGATTCAACAGAAGTCCACCTCTCCAGAAGCGTCCAGCGCTCAATGGACCATCCGTCCGTATCCCGAGCCAAATCGGAACGAGCTCAGGTTCCTGCATACGTAATTTCGAACCGAGAGGAGCCAGGGAACGCGTCGCCATTGATTCCGATACCGCCTCCGCCTCCACCGCCGCCGTTCAAGATGCCAGCGTGGAGGTTCGAGGTTCGCGGTGATTACGTCAGAGTGGCCAGCTTCAACAGCTCGCGAAGTGGATCGCCTGATTTGGAAAGTGAGGATCCCTCCGACAGGGAGTCTAGTCCGATGGCCGGTGGATCGCCGGCAGCGGCGGCGGGATCGCCGTTGTTCTGCCCGAGTCCCGACGTGGACACCAAGGCCGATAACTTCATCGCCAGGTTTAGAGCTGGTCTAACGTTGGAGAAGGTGAAGTCTAATCTCGGCCCAGGAGCAGGAGAAGGCCCAATTTGAAGCTTGTTTGCTTTCTTTTCACCCCACATTTTTTATGTTTAGATTGGATTTGTTTATTTTTTTCATTTAATTTTCTTTTTTTTGGTTTGGTGAGGATTTGTGAATGTGAGTTGCACACTGCCCCCCTTTGAATTCTGACTTATACTATATGGATTAAGATATAAAAGATAAAAAGAATATACAGAGATATGGAATTTCTTTTGGAGATTGAAGTATATAAGTATAATCAACCTTAAAACAAAAGAATATAGAGAAATTTGTATTTTGTACATTGTTTTGTCTACATTAAACAGATTTGTTTAAGTAAATGCAATTTGGTTCTTGACTTATTTTCTTTTTTTGGTGACGTAACTTCGATTCTCTAGTTCGTTTATTTCTTTTCGTTATAGGTAACTTCTAGTAAGGTTCTTATGATGGTTGTTGACAAATGAGGAAGGATTGGAAGTCTTGCGAATTTCATCACCCTAGGTTTGTGATGATGTTTGTATTGCATATGTTGTAAGAAAATATAATTTATTTTAATGATTTACGTTATTTTCAACAAAACTTCTATTATGGAAGTCAAACACTCGAAACATTATCATTTCTTTATATCTTCAGAGATAATTATTCTTGTTGTGTCCTATAATACAAAACAAGGGAGGATAGCTCATCAGCTCAAAATCGTCATTTTGAGTTTGTAACGATGCCTAAAGATTGCTTTATTTGAGTCATAATCGATTTAATAGTACTTGTTTGTAATGTTGCTGGAACTTGTATTATTGGGTTGATAAAATCTTAACGTTATATGTCTAATGATGTCTTTAGCAAAGGAAAGAGAAAAGGAGAAAGGCATCTAATCGAATTCCTTTTACTTTGGATGCCATTAAGCCTCATCCTATTATCTATGATGATATAATAATGCAATTGATTAACCAAATTAATCAAATCCAGACCAAAGAAGGTGGCTAAGAACATGGAAGGATGTCTTAACCATGGAAAGCTACAAAGTCTTAATTAAAATTGGAAAAATAATATAGAATACACATGGAAAATGGTTGGTTTTTATTCTAACCCAACCCAACCCAGCCAATGACTTGCCTTGCAATCAATTACAACAGTGTTCCCATCAAAACCAGGTTGGAGACAACCTTTTTTCCACACAGTTTCCATGTTTTGCTTTTGACCATACAATAACAATAATAATGTGTCACCAAAACGTTTTAAATTCAAGACTAACAAGATAACCAAACCAAAATGACCAACCTCTCCCCCCACATTATTATTGTATATTATAGTTTACTTGTTGCTGTAGGTAAGTTGTTGGACAAGTTCTTCAATGGAGCTTTCTTGCTTCACAATGCTCTCAGCCCACCTGGCTTTGATTCTCACTTTCTCTATGCTCTGCTTCAAGTTCATATCGATCGCTCCTGTCCAGTGCTCTGCGAAGAACTCCTCGATCTCGTCGGCCTTCTCGTGGCTACAAAACTAAAAACCACAAAACCAAATCAACCACCATGATCGAGATATGTTTATGTGTGATCTTGTTTTCCTTGGACAATGGATTGATCTACCAAATCAACATCAATGCTGGGTAGACTGTCGAAATTGTCACATTAAACTATGATGTTCCTACTAAAATGGTTATACATCCTAACCAGATTTTGATTAAACTATGTAACTAATAGTAAATAAAATCATTGTGCCTAATCTGTCGTTAATTCTGCTAAATTGACATGGTTCAATAGGCCTGTTATCTCTCCATAATTGTTCAATTAACACCCTTCCACACCCACTGGAGCAAGCCATTTCCATCTGGAGGATGGATTGGATGTTGGGTTGAGAATTAGGTTTGAGGGCCATGTTCAAGTTGGAAAGGAAAGGGAAGGTAAACAGGGTTCATGGGGTGTTGATTGGACAAATTTTAGTGACTAGGTGGTCCTATTTGACATGCTACCTTAGTCTAACTGATATGTTGCAATGGAGTGAGATTGAAACAATTCTTTCTTTACAATCCACTAAACTTAATTACTATGTTGTTAAACTTTTTTAGTGACCATTTAAGCATGTAATTAACACTGCTTTCACTTACAGGTGAGACTATGTCTCTGACAAAATGCGTGATCAACAATCCATCACCATACTTGTTCAAGATGAAGCTCCACTTCTCCTGGATACCCAGGAAACCAAAAATCTCGAAAAGATGAGAATCACCATGAAAATTTTAGTAAAACTAAACAGATCAGATATTGGACATGTAAAAAACACCTTCAGCCATCTCCATGCCATTTCACGGCCTTCTAGGCTTATTCCAGCCAATCCATAGACTATATCTTGCTCTCTTACTGCATCAGAGACTACTAACAGGTTGAGGGCATCTTCGACGACTTCTGGATCTGATGAAGTCGCTATGCAGCCTGCATTTGCGCGCAATCAGAAATATAGAAGACTATGATCAATGGTGATACTAATCAATCTTTAGTCTAGAGTAAAAGTTTGGATTGTCCTTAACGCAAGACACGTTCTTTCTCTTGGACTGCATCAGATTCTCTATAGATCTTCAGCAATGACTCGAACCCGTCTCTCTTTGTGTTCGTGCTGTTCGAATTCCTCATTGCAGCAACATATGCAGCCTGCAGAAAAATTCGCCCCATCAGATAATCCGATTGTAATTCAGCTTGCCATCACAAGGAGTGAGGCCAAATGATACCTTTCTTGTGTCAGCTGAAAGGAAGGGTGTGTTTCTGTCATTTAAGAAAGCCTCGAATCGGTTCATTGCCTCGTTGATGGTTCCATCATGTCCTAGAACAGCCAATGTAAGGAGAATTTCTCCCCTCAGAAGTGCATCCAAATGGCTCTCTCCTGGAACTGATTCCCACCCCAGTTTCCTATCTCAAGCCAAAAAAAAGATAGAGGAAACCTTTGTTAAGGAGGGTTGTTGAGGAATTTTGAAATCCTAACCTCATCAGGATTAGGCGAAGCGACGGATGATGCCTGTTACCCTGCAGAGAATTGGAGGAGACTGATGAAGAATGCTTTCAGATCATTGACTGAACCCGGAATGGCATCTGTGGAGACCTCTAGAATGCTGTAACATATCTGTTCAGCAGAATTGGTGATCATGAATTCATCCATGCATAATCAATGGCAAAGAGAAAGCAAGTTCAGTGGGATTACATCCATGAGTCTTGACAGAAGGGCATAGTCAAGCTCCTTTCTGTACACATCCATGAGGGACAGCAAATTTGATAATGGAAGTTCACAAGATTCACAAAGAGCAAATACGTCATCCAGAATTCCTGGAATCAATATTTCAAAGTGCAAGATTTTGTCAAGATAGAGAATAAGAAAGACTGTAACTTTAAATGCTTATCAGTGTGATGCTATACTTACCAAATTTATCTGTTGCTGATAACTGATTGTCCACTACAGCCTTCTTCAGCCTTGCTGCCAGTTTGTTTTCATATTTCACTCTGTAGAACCCACTTTGCTCGACGTTAACTTTGATCCATAGATCTTCACCAAACGAGATTGGATCTCCATTGGAGGACTGATCAAGATCAGACAGGTGAAACCTTCCAACTTCTGTTTCCAACAAGAATGTCTTCCTTCTCTTGTAAGATCCAAGGATCAAGGTGATTGGAACTATCCAGTTAGCATCATTGGAAGCTTGCCCCGATGATAAGAATTGAGCCTGCAGGTCGTAAGCCACTATCGGGTTTCAATCAAGTTCATCAATGAGTACATGACATACACTTACATGTTTGAGGTTTCCAAACCTGTTCAAATTCCAAGAACTGATCTTTAAGTTTGACAGAGATGACTGGATATCCTTTCTGCTTTGTCCAACTGTCCATCATCGAGTTTACCCGAACACCTGACACTTCTGACAGAACACTCCACAAATCTTCTGTCTTGGCATTTCCCCAAGCATATCTCTTCATGTATGCACTCAAGGATTTCTGGTTTAAAAGTCCATAACACATACAGTTAAGCATATAAAATTACGTAACAAAACGATTACATCCTCAAATAACTTCCTCATCACCTGAAAAATGGCATCTCCAAGATAGCCCTGCAGCATTCTGACAACAGAAGACCCCTTTTTGTAGCAGACATCATCGAAGGTTTCGTTCACCAACCGAGCATACTTCACCTCTATCTGTAAGTACAGAAAGGCTGCAACTTGTTAGAGAAAACACCACAATATAATTACTTCAATGGAGTGTGATTACTTAATCCTTGTCATGCCTCAATTGGATGTGATCCTTGAAGTGCATCGATCCGTAGGCCACTCGTGACCATTTGAAGAAACTGAGCCCATATTTTCAATTCCGGAAACATAATGTCTGTTGCTAAGTAACTTATCTGTCAATGGAAACCAAAGAACTCATCAGGCAAGAAGAAAAACATCGAAAATCATTGCAAAGAGAGATGGAGAATATATAATACCCAAGTTGCAAAGCCTTCATTAAGCCATAAATGAGTCCACCATTCCATTGTAACCAGATTGCCAAACCAATGGTGTGCTACTTCATGTGCCATAACAATTGCCAACTGCAACAGACAAAGAAAAAAGACAGGTCATATTTTCACATTTTTCATACCATTCGGAATCATTGGATCTAATTTGGAAGCCTAATCAAATACCCTTTGCTTCCTGGAAGCTGAAGACATCAGGTCATTCTGAAGTAACTCGTTCTCGCGAAAGATTATGAGACCATTGTTCTCCATAGCTCCACCAGAAAACTCAGGGACAGCAACCATATCAAGCTTAGGAAGTGGATATCCCATTGAGAAGTATCTAAAAGTTCAAAATGTCCCATTTTAACCAAGTCAGAAATTATATTAATCAAATCATTCATTCGAACAGCAATAAAAAAGAATGGGTCATCACTTACTGACTAAACAGATCAAGTGACTTGACAGCAAGGCTAAGAGCATATTTCCCTTCATCTCTTTTCCCTTTAGGGCAATATACGCGAACCTTAATCCCTGCAAATAGTCAATCCATTCAAGAAAACCTCATGAAACAAACCAGATTCTTCATACAGAAAGGTTATTCCAGGAATCTTTTGCATACCATCTGAGGTTGTCTGTTCAACATGATCAAATACACCAAGGACAACGGCTACTAAATAAGTTGACATGAGGGGAGATTCCTGAAAAGTAACTGTCTTGATATTCCCATGAATCTTTTCATCAGCAACCGGCATGTTTGACAATGCTGTTAGCTCCACTGGAGCGTCTATGGCTACCCTGAAAGTTGCCTGTGGTGAAATTAGAGATTGATAAGTCGTTCCAAGATGAACGGTGAATTTCAAAATAACCAGATGAGTACCTTAAGAGCAGGTTCATCCCAGCATGGGAAACACCTCCTAGCATCCACAGCTTCAAACTGTGTTGCCACCATGTTCTTCTTGGTTTCTCCATCCAAATAAGTGCTGTTCGGGGAAAACAGAAATAGCAGCCAAGTTGCTTCAGCCATCTTAATTGGCGAATTCTGAAGTTCTTACGAGATTCAGTGCAACAGTGATGGTATGATCACAAACCGAAAGAGAGACTTACCATCTGTAAAACCCTCTCAGATGCTCGTTAAGCGACCCAGAGAACTCAATCTTAAGGACACCATCGCCAACTGAAATCGGTTCGTCGAAGGGCAACACAAGTATCTCATCTTCATCATCCACCACAACGTCAATTGGAAGGCACTTCTGTAGCAGTCAAATCACAGAAGAGATGATCTTTACACACTGCAATCAACTAACCAAGTGGATATTGCAATGGGTAGTAATATGCTGCAAGTATACTGTATACTAACCTGGTCATTAGACTCACTGGTGAAGGAAGCTTCATGAATTATGAGTTCAAGGGAATTCAAAACGATAAAGCTTGTGGGTTCAGTGATGGTGAGCCTGATTTCTACAGTACCAGAGAAGTTGCAGGCGAAGAGGTCAGGTTGAAGGTAAAGATTGTAACTTTTTGGGATTGCAAATTTGGGTAACCTCGTTTGGCCCTTGAACTCTTGCTCCATGATCTTCTTCTGCTGCTTCTTTTCCATTTTCTTATGGCTCATCACTACTCAGAAAATAACTCTCTCAAGTTGGAGACTACTTAAGCACCATAGAATTAAGAAAAAAAAATATATTGACTACTGATTTCATACTTTTGATTGACTTTTTGACTTGTGATGGCACATTGCTATACAACAAAACTGCTTTCCCGTGTCTTTGAATGTCCAATGAACGATATCCTTTTCCAGTTATTTTATATAGAGCACCAGTTGATTGTCTGACGCCACCGCCACCACCAGGTTAATGGTCTTGATAAGATATGTTTTTTAATCCTATTAAGATATCTTCTTAAAATTACAAATGAGATTAAAAAAACAGAATAATTCAAAGAGAGTCACTATTTTATCTCTCACTTTTTGGTCTTGGTGGGTACTCTCTTTATTTTCATCTTCTAACTTTATTGCCATATTGCAAGAGTACAATTTATTATCATGTTTTTTAGGAGAAAATGATGGCTTGACAATCACATAAAGTTGGAAGGGACACTATTGTTTGTAAATTTTGATTAAAGGGAAGCTGACGACGATAGAAGGAATACCAGCTGAAGCGCAGTAAGCAGATAAAGCAGCAGAAGTATCGCCGGTGGAAGCACATCCAACTCCGTGCACCGGTTTCTTCATCTTCCTCAACCTGTTCACCTGACTCACCAATACAGTCATCCCCAAATCCTTAAAGCTCCCCGTATGGCTGATCCCACAATGCTTGACCCACAACTCACTCATCTGCAAAAACTCCTTCCCGTACCTCTCCGCCCAGAACAGATTCGAATTGCCTTCAAAAGCACTCACAATGTCGTCGCTCGAAATCTCCGGCAACACCCACTCTTTCTTCGACCAAACCCCTGATCCGTAAGGCTAGGTCGTCTTCCCGACGCGGGAATCGAACAGGGACTTCCAGTAAGAACCTGGAAACGCCTTGAGCGCTTCCATGTCGTGCTGGACGTCGAGCAGACCGAAGGATTGGGATCGGTAGACGATCTCGTCGAGCGAGTAGGACTCGGTGGAGTTGGGTCCGGCATTGAAGGGTACGTACTTGGCAGAGAAATTGTTGGATGGTTGTGGGTGGGCGAGGTTGTGGCGGCGGGCCTCGTCGCGGATGCTGGAGCCTTTCGTCGGATTGGTGGTGGTGGTGGGCGTCGTTTTGGAAGGATCGGAGGAGGGAGAAGAGGAAACGGAGGCTCTGGGTCTGGTTATTGAGACAAAATGGGGAGCGGGTTTGGGAGAGTGGATGCCGGAAGTGATCCGGTGGCGGCGGCTGTGGAGGTTGGGGGAGATGAAGAGGGCGGATGAAGTCGCCGCCATTGGTGACTGGTGACTGGTGAGAAAGACTGATAACAACGGAGATCTGATGGAAAGAGTAACGGTTTTTGGAAAGGGTTTAACCGACTGAGAGGGGACCTGTTAGCGTGACTACCTCTAAAGAGGTCTGATTTTAGACGAAGATTGTTATTTGCCGCTCTAAGATTTACTATTTGTCGCCCATAATTATAAGTAAAATTATGATTTTATTCTTTTTCATTTTAAACCTGTACTGCATCCCATACGGCTGGAAACCTCCCTCTCCTCCTTCTCGAAGTCGTCGGCGAGTCTGCTTTGCCTCCCTCCGGAGGGTCTGCCTCCCCTCCCGCCGCCAGCTGATGAAGAGGTGGTCGCTGGTGTTGCTGTCGCCACCACCGTGAGAAAGAAATCGCCGCCACCCGAGGAAAGAGCTCGCCGTCAAGACCAAGCTTCTTTTTTTTTTCTTTAACCCCCCGCCTGCGCTCGTCGGACGGGGTCCGATCGCCACGGTCCGACGGGGTCCGTCAGCCTGCGTCGAACGCGTTCCCGTAATTGTCTTTCTCAGGGCGGTGGCGACAGCAAAAATCATTAACTCCGTAATAACCGCAAAAATCGTTTCTAACTACAAACTAAGCAAGATTAATTACCGGGGGAAAAAACTAATAATTATGGGGTTAGAGTTAGTCTGCATCCCGTGTAATTTGCCCAATAATTAGTCTTTTTATTTTATTAACTCCTAACATTCCGTCATTTATTTAGCTTTATACTTCCTAAATCAGTATTAACTCGCCAAAGGTAATATAGCCTAGCAGTGAAATTGTTGATCTGATTGGCTCAGGATGTGAGAGGTTCTGAGTTCGATCCCCAATGACGCTGTTTGTGTCTTCCCGGCAATGCAGTCAAAATCGCGTTTTAAAACTTAAAAACTTACGATTTTACGCTTTTAGGTCACCAAAACGCTTTCGTTTCTATATTAAAACTTAAGTGTATAAAATCGGACTAAATTGCGCTTTAAAACTTAAAAGCTTACGCTTTTACTCTTCTAGTTCACCAAAACGCTTTACGTTTTTACGCTTTTAGTTCACTAAATGAGTATTCTTTTAATGAAATTAATTATGAAAAGTATATTTTAGAAGTAAATCACCAACAATATGATGCATTTGAGATAAAAGATACATACCAGGTACTTGGATGCATTCTCAACTTCAATAGAGAAATAATTCACCAGCTAGCCTCTTCTCGAATTCATTAGCATAGATGAAAAAGTGGCTTATTGTTAAATTTATGTTTACGAACTTATTATTAAGATTGTATAAGTTGCTCTACTTTAGGCATGAATTGCATGTATTTATTAACTTATCTAAATTCTGTGCATTCATATTTTACATAGTATATGTCCTACTTAATAGATTTTTAGTTATTTTACAATATGCGTCAAAAACTTACGCTTTTACGCTTTGATTCTACGCTTTACGATTTTACCCCTTTTCCGCTTCTAAGTAGAATCGCGCTTTTGACTGCATTGGTTCCCGGATTGTGTCTTGTACAGGTGCTTGCCCGTTATTAATTAAGGAAATAGATTGAATATTAATCCATAACAGAGCACAACATGGCCCGCTTAATTAGCACTAAACTCTATAATTTTTAGTAACATAATTTTACGAAATATTCTCCTGTGAGTGAGATGGATTAGGGGGTTATTGACATCATTATATTAATATTATCATTTAATTAGGAAAGAGGTTGGTAGTGATAAATCACTAAATTAGATAAAACTTGGGCGATCTATCGCCCTTTTTCTTACCAAAAAAAAAATAGATAAAACTAGTGATTAACTATATATAATAATATTAATTTACTGTTTGACCGGATTACGGTTTAACAAGATTAGGGTGTGACCTTGACCAATTAGTTAAATTTTCAAGTAATTATAATTTACAAAAAATGTTGTATAATATTATGGATATTTAATTATAAATGATCATAAATATTGTACAAGGCTCCCACCAAAAAAAAAATTATATTGTACAAGGCTACAAGCTTATGCATAATTTATTTTAATTGTGTAGAAGACGTGAAATAAGGAATGAAATTAATAGGAATGAAATTAATAATTAATAATTTTAAATCCTAATTATTGTATTTTAAAATTATTTAATTACTAACGAATTGTACAATTTGTCATGTAATCAAACTAAAATGGCCGCGTTTTGCATTTGTCAATTTTCGCATTTACTAGAGTGATTGACTTAAAAATTATTGAAAATCTTGTTGATCCTCTAAAATGTGGATATGAACATGGTGGAACTGACCATTTCTCGATTGGACGTCTCAGACAAAAAAAGATGAATAGTGCCAAAATTTCCATCGAGATTTTTGGGGGCTCAATGAATCATAAAAATGTATTTCTTGAGCCCATCATGCGTATTTCAATGATGCAAACAAATGTTGTTAGTGGAAGTAGAAATTATTTTACCTCTAAAACAATATCGTAGTAGGATTGGATGGATTGAAGTTAGCTATTTGGTGGGATTTAGGGTTTAGGGTTAGAGAGAGGTAGAATGTGTAGACGGGGAAGATATGTTTTCATCTTTTGTTACTGTCATCGTTATTCCGGCTAGATTAAATTTTAATTAATCTATCTAATTTCATGTTTAAAATCCAGTCTCACCACATTTATTCACTCAACTATTTTTACTTAAAAAAATAAAAAAGAATTACTTTAAGTGATTAAATTACACTCAACTACTACTATTAAAATATGTAATTAATTATTAAATTTTGTTTCCCTAATTTCGTTGGTAGCAATCAAAGAGGAAAATAATTAATAATAAAAATATTACTTATTATGAGCGTGATAATTAAGGGCAGAAATGGTTGCTTTCCTTTTTCTGCGAATTAAGTGTTTCCATTTTTAATTATATAAATATAATTACTCGTGGTAATAGGGCAGGAATCACGTGCTTACTCCACATTTATCTTGATTTGATAATCCGTTAATTAATTCAATTATATAAGTTTATTTTATTAGTTCATTGTTTCCGCCCAAAAAATAGAAAACTTACCATGATTAGAACTTCCAAAATCAATACATACATAAATAGCAATTATCACACATCATAATTTAACATAATATTTAATTAACTTATGTATAATTAATAATTGATTTTCTGGGTAATTAAAAAGGTTAATTTTCTGGAGAAAAGGTCGTTGGCAGCAACCGTCCGAAAGTCGCCGTCGGACGGTGCTTCACCGTCCGTTTTCCTTCTTCGTAACCTACCTCGCCATCGCGGTCGCCGATTTTGGACTGAGCCTCACCTTCCAATCGCCGACGTCGGACAACGTTTCTAGGCCAGATCGAATCCTCGTTGAGATTTCGCCGCGATTGGCGGAAGAAGAAAGAGAAGACGAATCATCGTCGAGATTTTCCGTAGATAAAAGAATCTGATCGAGTTTTTGTGAAAGAAAACAGACGGTGGTGACCCATACAACGACAAGACGACGAGAACCAGTTGGCGGCCGGCGATTTCAGTTTTTGGCGGCGGCAGCTAGACCCTCCGGCAATTCTAAAATGGAGAAGGGGCAAATCCGTCATATTTTTTGTAACTACGGGCGGCAAATAGTAAACCTACGGGCGGCAAATAGCAATTCATATTTTCGACACCCATAGTCTTTGTCGTCCATTCTTAATAGTCCTAATCTAATGGTAGGAAGTAAACAGTTGGTAATTTGTAATTAATTCAGTAATTAATTACATCGGAAAAGGAAAGAAGTAAACAGTTGGTTCCCCACGCATAATTTAAAATTCATTCCCTCTTACCTTTTTTTATTTCACCGTTTCATTTTCCTTCTCTCTCTCTGTTCAGAACCCGACCGCAACCCTTCGTCGTCGACTCATCTAATCACTATCCCCCCGCCGTAAACCATCCTCTCCTTGACAAACAGTGATCGGCCCATCCCTCCCCTCGGAAGTCGTCTGTCTTCCGTCCCGAACCATCAACTTCGAACCCACTTGATCGATTCCCGTCGACGACCGTCTATCTGCGATAGAGCCTATATAAGCCGATAGTGGAGGCGGCGTGATTTTCCGCTTCAATTCATCTCGCCGGATAGCAGAATGTGATAGTTGCATTGCCGTACTACAAGAAAAAGATTTTGAGGATGAAGATCAGAATGTTGGAGAGTCAACTGAAGAAGACGAGGATGGTAGTGATGACCACAACAGTGCGCCAGAGGGTGACGAAGGTAATGAGGATGAAGAAGAGGGTGATGGGCATGTCGAAGGTGATGAGGATTAAGAAGAGGGTCCTGATGGTCAAGTAAGGGATCGGTTTGATGAATATGGTGGTGATGGCGATGGATTACGTGATGCTGGAAGTGGTGGAGATGGAGTAGACAAGGAAGCTGATGTTTTCAGTCTGGCGGATCGTGAAGAAGAGGGTAGTGATGATCAAGTAAGCGATCGGTCTGATGAAGATAGTGGTGATGGCGATGGATTACGTGATGCCGGAGGATAATTTATTTTTTGTTGGCATTTTCCCTGATTTTGAACCCCAATGAAACACGGTTATTGGTGCTATTATTGGGAAGTCTCTATTTTATTGTCTGATTGAATATTTACATTGGTGGTGCTTGTGCCAGAATTATATTTTGCATGTTGTAGTTAGTACGAGTACTTGTTGAGTGCTATGTGTACTAGTTCAGTGGTACAAGTGCTAGTCGATCGGAATTTGTACCAGTGAAGTGGTATCTCTACAAGTAAAGTGGTACATGTACCAGTATAAATTGTGGTTTCATATTAGGAACGTTGAAGTTGTGCGAAATACATTTATATGACAATAGTCGTGAACAAAGATAACTACATGAGATTTAAAGAAGGTAGCCAAACTTGTTGTGTCTTTAAAAAGGTACAAACCACAAATTCCTGAACTTTAAAAGTACAAACTCAGAGGAAAAAAGATGCACCCCTACTGATTGTTAGCCTTTTTATGCTTGATCTCATCTTGCATTTGTTTTCTAGCTTTCTCTCCATCGTATTCCCCAGCAGGTTTCATCCTCTTCTTTACTGTTTCCCTCTCGGCTCTGGTTCATCGATTTTTGGGGGATCTTCTTCAGGAATGTAAGCGA